GAATCACCGACATGTGGAACAGCCTCCCCGATGACATCGTTGGCGCTCCAAGTATGAACGCGTTCAAGAACAGACGAGATAAAGCTATGGAAAAATATATGTTCAGATATGAAATGCCTAGCTCCTTATCGAACCCGGTGGAAGTCTAGTAGCTACTTCAAACTATCGCCAGTCATGAAAAGATCCGCTCAAATGATACGAGTTTAGATCTATGAACAAGGCACGAAAAGGAAAAGAATCGGTGACAGGCCACATCAGGCCTACATTTCAGCGCCGACATCATTATGTTATGTTATGTTATAACAATATGCAATTCTGCATAGTGGCGATTGGCAAAGCAATGACTGAAAGAGTTTATTAGACTCTTCACTCTTTCTCAGGTTCATTTTTTAGTCCTATAAGACTGTATAAGTAGATCACTAAAGTATCATGGTATTACCCAGCATTATCATACATAAGAAATTGGTTTAAATCTTGAGTAGACAAAAAAATTAGAAAAATGAACTGATTCTAAATAATCTGAATTCTGATTTGTCACTAGGCTATGTTTAGATTTTGGAAGGTGCAACTCCTAGGACGGTAGGACCAATTGAAGAAGTAAAAAAGTATTTAGAAAATGAGGCATAGTGTTTGACATGTAGCAATTATTACAATGAATTGCACCTAAAAGGCTAAATGGTGGCATTTGGCAGGAAAAACATCTACCATGATCAAACAGAACAGGATAGGTCATAAGGGACAGGTCAGTACCTAGTCACAGGTGTCAGGTGGCAGTGGGTAGGCTAATAGGCCCAGTCCGGCCCAGACAGTCCTCTGAGGCTCTGACATTTCATAGAAATGTTGTAGCAGCTAAACTTATTGAAATATTGCAAAACAGAAATAGTGGTATAAAGGTTAATATTTTTCTTATATATGCAGCAACAGCAGCATATAGACTTAGGGTAAACGCGGTATATTCCGACACATTAAGGACGCATCGAGAAATGAAAAACTATAAAAAAAACCGTATGCGTTACGTAAGTTCTGTTGCCTTCACATGACTCTCAAAACACTTCACTACGCGTCAGCAACGATGAAACGTCACAAAATGTTGCCATATTTATTAAAAAGCCTTTAGAATGGAAACCTACCAAATCCCTATATTCCGTCACTTTGTGTGGCAACATCCGACACGTGGTGAGTCGTATTGCGTCAGCGCTTCAAATTTAACTGATACGTATTGCCGACATCCACGTGTTCGAATTCCGTTTGCTGTGTGAGCTGTATTGGGATACAACACGGCTTTGAATTAGAACACTAACGAATATTGAACACTACTTAATTACGTTTTAATTAACAGCTATTAGGCTTTTAATTAAGCAAATTTCAATTTTTGTACAAAGCTTTGAACGATCTGTGTGTGTCCAATTCAAGTTGTGTCGGAATTAGTTTTCATGTGTCGAAATCCAACATCTCAACTTAATCATCTATTAATTTATTTACGACTTGAAATCAGCAAATACAAGTATACTTAAAGGATTCCTAATATATTCACAGACGTATTTAAAAGTCTCAAACCATAATATTCTTCCTATACAAACAGTTATTCACTATTTGGTAGAGCAAGGTCAACTGTCAAATTTGACACTTTTTTCGATGATCTCACTGGGTAGTGTGCATTGTCTCTCTTTGGATCTCAATATTTTCCTGCTAGATGGCCAAGACCTAGTGTTTTGGCATTAGTTCGATGCACAAATGTATGACGTCACCATTTCAACCATCAACGAACGCATAGAACTAAAACAAAGCTTAATATATAGGAAAAACTAGAGAGGTGACGGAATTACCCACGATGTCGGAATATACCGCGTTTACCCTATAGCAATAGCAAGTTAAGAAATTTTATATATACTACCCGTCTACCTCTAAAAAATCCCCCCCAAAAAAAGTATGAGAAGTGAGATTTTGGAAGAGTAGTAGTACTAGTACCTACCTCTGCTAAGGTCTGTGGCAAAAAAAAAAAAAATTTCACCTGTTTCACCATATTAGTAAATTTTACTTATATAAAAATTGTACACAGGTGTTGACTTGAAAATTTGACTCACGGAATTTGCCTAGCTCATCCCCCCAAAAATGGCGGCCATTTCCTAAAGAAGGGGTAATAAGGTTAGGGTCCTAAGAGACACTCCTAGAGTCCTAGTCCTAAAAACACATTTACACTTACAGTAGAACCTCAGTTAGCAAAGGCTCCAGTTAAAAAAGAAATATCAATGAACAACAAAGAATTTAGATTACATTTACCTTACTTACTTAGCAAAAAAACTTTCACCTTACGAAAAATTAATGCATCATCGGTCATCACAAAATTGTACATAAAATGTCATAGCTAGAATTATGCACCACAGCACCAGGCAACATATAATGAAAAGTAATTAACCCAAACTACAATTTATTTCTTTAAAAAATATGATGGTTGTTGCTAAAATATTCCTTTCTGTTTCAGCCTGCTGCTGATATGAAGTGTGCTGTAGACAAGGTCATTGTCCATGCTCAATGCATGTTCATGAATATGGTAATATCACATACCACCAAATGGCGGGGGTAATATGAGACAGGTGGGGTGAATCGGGACAGTCATCCCACATTTTGTAGAAATGTTGTAAGTTGTAACTGCTAAACTAATCAAAATGTTGCAAAACTAAAAATAGTGGCATAAAGTTCAACATTTTTACTATCTATGCATAATGAAGCAAGTTAAGAAATCATACATTTACTACCTCTAAAATATCCCTGAAAAAAGTGTGAAAAGTGAGATTTTGGAAATGTACCTCTGCATAGGTATGTAGCAAAAAAAATATTTGCTGTATCAAAAGATTTTACTTGCCTTAACATTGCACACAGGTGTTGGCTTAAAAACATTATTGACAGAATTTACATATCTCATTAAAAAAATTTTCAGCCATTTCCGCAAGATGGGGTAACATGAGACACCCCTAAAAATGCATTAACAGTAGAACCTTGGTTAGCAAATGCTCCAGTCAATAAAAAAATTGATTAACAACAATAAATTTTGATTACATTTTCCTCGCCCAGCATAAAAAATTTTCAAGTAACACAAAATTAATACATCTTCCATCATCACAAAATTGTGCATAGAATGCCATAGATAGAATTGTGCACTGGGGCACTGGGCAACATAGAATGAAAAGTAATCAACCTAAAGTAAGATTTATTTCTCCAATAAATATGATGCTTGTCACTAAAATTTTCATTTCTGTTTCAGGTATGTTTTTATGACCTTTATTTTTTTTATAGTGAATTTACTCAACCCAATTAAAATGGTACAAATTATGAGCCATCCTATAAGCTTGCAAATACAGAAGAAATGCTATATGGGTGCTGATATGAAGCTTGCAGTGGACAAAGTTGTTGTCAATGCTCAATGGCATGTCCATGGATGCAGTAATATCACGTCAATAATACGGTAATCTAGTATGGATATGGTAATATCAATAAAGGAAAAGCAAATAAAAATCACTGAAAATGTCATTTATTCTACATCTGCATCATCTAAAAAGGAAGAGGAGGTCTTCAGAGTACTGTTAGTAATGGATGAGTACACTTTGCATGCTTCAAACATTTTAAAATTAAGTTTCATTCCAAGTGTCCCGGATTATCCTGTTCCCAGGGGTAATTCGGGATGCTTTTATTTTGTGTCTGGCACCTTACAAATACCATATGGAATTTTTTAGAGAAGCCATATGATAACCTTCACAAAGAGCTTTCAAATGAGTCTAAACTTGTTTATGGGAAATATTTCATGGGAAGAAGTTATCAACAAAAAAAAAAAATGCTCAAAATCATCCCTTATTACCCTGTTTGATGATATATATATTTCATACCTGCTAAGAGAACTCAACAATAAAGGTCAACAAAAAAGTCTCTTGCATGCTGCACTATTTATTACATGAGCATCTAAGTGTTTGGTCCTCTAGCCAGAATTTAGCTATCAATATTATGAAAATTGCAAGTTTTTGCCTACCATTTTGGAGGCTGAAACCACTTGTATACTGGGGATCGTGATGAAAAAATTCCAAAAGCCTTGATTAGCATCTATTAGCAAATCATGAGTAACAACCTCTATTTCTCTCAGGGCATAATAAATACATCTTAAACACAATCTAGAATACCTATTGGGCAATGGGCAGAATTTTCCATGAATACATGGTAAAATTATGTTTTATTCTGAAAAAATGTGTTATTTTTCTAAATTTTTACAAGAGAAACTAAACAAAGGCCATAGGAATAAGATAAATTACCTGCAAGCCATCCTCCACAGTTCACAGCAATGTATTGGAAGTGAATCAGCTAGATGACTCTTTGTTGAAGTACAGTAACTACAGTTGATACTATAATTTTGGTCACATGAAATTTAATTGTTTTTATTTCACATCTAATGTGTGTTTTGATTGTTCCAGTAGTTGATATATAGATATTCTGATATTTTGGATCACTTTCCCCAAGTCCGGTAGCAATGGCTAATTTGAGAGGCATCTCTAGGGTCAAAACTAAGCTCCAGAAATCAATTGAAGAAGGTCAATATTATGAAGCACATCAAATGTACAGAACACTTTATTTCAGGTAAGTCCATCCATAAAAATATAATGTTTTGAAATAAAAGAAAACAGTGCCCTCTAAAAAAGAACACCAGTTCATTAGTTTATAGTGTTTAATTTTTTAATTGAATATCTCTTAACATATTAATGCTGAAGAGCATGGCAATGAATAACATTGTACTAAGGAATACAAACTAATGCTTTGCTTGAACATGATTCATTACCTTCATTACCAATTATTTGATTATTGAAATTCAAATCATTTTTAATCATTTGAGACTAATTGTTTCCCATCAATTGCAGGTATAAAAGTCAAGAAAAATATGTAGATTTGATAGATCTTCTCTACGAGGGATCTCATTTACTTCTCACTCACAACCAGGTTAGCAAGATTTATTGAATGGAAACGTATGTGCTGTTGCAGGGATATGTATATCTGTAATGGTGTGGTCCTTGCCCAAAAGGATGTAATATTGTGGTCTGTTCAGAGTTTTTGTAATTGACTGTTTTGTGCCATGAAGCATTATAATGGTATGCCATTTCCCTAATTTGTTTCTAATTTTTTCCAATGTTTGAGAATATGTGTGGTTATTTCCAATTTTCTTTTATGGGTTCTTGTATTTATTTATCTGTATTTTTGATGGCAATCTTGTTTCAGCAAACCAGTGGAGCAGACCTGGCTGTGTTGATGCTAGAAGTGCTTGAGTCGAGCAAAGCTCAGCCCAGCAAGGTTCATTTCACCCGGATCATTGAGTGAGTTTTGTCATTATTTGTAAAGTAGAAAATGTTGAACATAATTTTTTTTATAAATTAATCCATTGATCTGCAAATGCATGGATTTAAAACTCAGGCTGTGATGGGCAGCTACTGGTATGCATTATGCAGTGAAGACTCCTACCAATGGCTTAGCTTTAGAACACTAAAGTAATTTTTTACCTAGATTTTAAAAGCAAGGAAAACTCCAAGCAAGTTCAACATATTTTCACAATAAAATGTTTCAGAGACCAGTTCCATTATCAGTTCAAAAATTTTTAGAGAATTCAAGCTTGTTGTGTTATTTTATAATTTTTTTGAACTAATGATGGAGTGGATCTCCAAAATGTTTTGATTGGATATGTAGGTAGCAAACTTGCTCAGCATTTTATTTGCTATTAAATTCCTGGAGACCTTGCTATTTGAGCAGGCTAGTTAATTAAGTTGGTAAATGTTTTCCTTTTTTCTCTTTGTGAATTTAGTTTTGAGAAATTCCAAGAGTATATTTTTTTTAATGATCTGGTTATTTCATATGATTTATCCCTTCACTAAACTTCAAATAGAATTTCTGACAATTGACTAAAATCTTTGAGTAGGTATTTCAGTTGGCACTATTTGCAGGTTGTTCCGTCTCCTAAATTGTCCAGAGCGTCAGCAATACTTGGTGCGAGCTGTAAAGTGGTCAAGTACTGAAGACTTTAAATTAGGACATCCCACGCTGCATCAACAATTGGCGCTAGTCTTATGGAAAGGTAAATAAAAATAAGCCCAGGTAGCAGGGAATTTTGAGAGGTGGCTGTATAAAATTCCTCACATCCATATATCGCTATTATTTGAGGTGTAAAAAATATTTTTATGAAATATTGGTTGTCATGAAATATAATTTGATTCATATCCACTTCATGTAAAACCTTTCCAATGAAGTCATGGTGAATTAAATTGGCACTTTATTTGCTTTTAAATTCTTGGTTAACTTGCAATTTAAGCAAACTCCTGATGTAGGTATACTTAAATTTCATGCCATACTCATTTATTTTGGTGACTTATCTTGCTTGGTCTTCAGAATTCATTGGTTGGTTCTGAGTATCAAGATGCATTGTTGTGCAATCTCCTGAATCTGCTCCTGAATAAAATATATTAATAAAGATACATTGTTATGATATTTTCCAGAAAAACAGTATGCATTGGCTCGTTATCACTACCTGCGTTCTGACGATGGTAGCGGCTGTGCAACATTTTTAATAGAGCTTCACTTACTCAAGGGATATCCTTCTGAAGTGGACTTATTCCTGGCACAAGCTGTGCTCCAGTAAGTTGTCATATCTTTAAATCCATTTGCAATTGGGTTCAATAATGAAATTTATCTAGTTTGTTTTACATCCGAACTTTCCGAGTAGTAGTAGTCATAATAAATGCTAGTTCATTCTTTATACCTATTTTAACTATTTTGATGTAATTTTTTTTTTGTATTTCTAATTTATTAAATACCTTATAATTTTCCTCTTCACTTCTTCTGTCAAATTTCAATTGTAACTTTGTGAAAATTGATGAAAAATGGCGTTCATTTTGATCTGTAATAAAATATTCAAGCAAATTCTCAAACACAACAACAATCTAATGATGAAAAATTTGCCAGAAACTATTTAAGAATAATTGACGTTCCTTCTTGCACAACTTAGTATGCAATTGAAAAGTTTCCTTTGCTGGCCTCTGCAGCTTACGTGATGAGACAAATACTGAGTTTTGGAATGATGAGCCATCGCTGATGGGAATTTAGGGTCCAATCTTGTCAAATTGAATGTATCTAATGTTCTCGTTTGTTGCTAAAATAAACAACATGCCAAATGATTAACTGTTGTGACGTATTTGGTACTGCAGCATGTGTTTAATACTAGTATGCTCACACATATGTATGCTTACGTATATTGTAGACGTAATGAATAAAATCACACGTACTTGGCTTTGCATGTATTAAGTTTGTACCAAAGTGTGGACAGCCTGCAAAGAAAGAAGATGCATATTGTGCAATGCTGAATACAATTCTAAAAGTTATTACAATCACAGGTACTTGTGTCTGCAAAAGAAGGTAGAGGCAACGAAGGTGTTCGAGACGTACACTGTGACCCATCCTCACATCAGCAAGACACCTGTAGGGCCACCCTACCTGCAGCCACTCCTCAACTTCCTATGGTTCCTACTCATAGCTGTTGAAAAGTAAGTTTGTTTCGAATAAAGTTTCCTATGGCAAATGCTATCCAGAGCATGTTATGCTTTTATTCGAACCTTTTTTTAATGAATAATTTGTGACTGTTCATGGCGTATTTCACTTGGCCACATGAAAGTGGGCCTTTAGAGGTACTAGGAATCTTCCAAATGTTTATTTTTTATGCTCAGACCTTCTGAGTTGGGGTCGGGGGTTGTCCGCGTCTTGTAAGAAAGCCTGCACCAGTGTCGGTTCACACTCCTGGAAGGATGCGATATCGTCTCTTGTCTATTGGTTACTAAATTACAGAAAAGCCAAAGAGTAATCTGTTGCAGTGTTGGCCAAAGTGCCGTGGAAGGCTACTATATTTTCATACTGCACTCTTGTGCCCAAGTATCGATCTAAATATTGGAGCGTGAGCAGGGGTCGAGTGACGGAGTTCCGGGTGCTGTGCGAGCAGTATGGCCCGAGCCTGCAGCGTGACCCCTGCTACAGAGAATACCTCGACACCATTGGGCAAATCTTCTTTGCTTTGCCGCCACCTCCACGTCCACGATCTTCATTCTTCGGTGAGAGTGCAGTTTAACATTCAAAAACTTTGCTCTGAAGTGCGAATTTGTGTTTGGTTCCGATAATGCACGAAGAATCTTGATTTTCCAAGGGTGTCAGCTCAGTGCTTAATCATAATTAGTTGTTCTTCAACCTTCTTTTAAATTTTAAATTTATTACAATATGTTGTTGATGTATTCATACCCATATGGAGTTACTGATGTTGATTATTTATTTTACTATTTTAAATTAGGATTGCTAATTATTAGCCATGATTGGTATGTATGATAAAGCCTTGATTTTATTCTGATAAAAATAGAAATGTTGCATGGCATAAGAAATGTCAAGTAATATAATGCGTGTTGTAGGAGATTTACTGCAAGGGCTGCTGAGGGGTGACGATGGTGGTGACGACGAAGGCAGCAGCAGCAGCGACGCTCAGCAGCCGCTGGCCGTTGCTCACGAGGAGCTCGACTAGACGCTGCTTTTCATCTACGGCTCACTGACAACACTCCTGTTCACTTAACTCCTCTTATTATCATGAATTGTGTTGTCTTTCGCGAAACGTCTTGATTACATTGTTGATAGAAATCATGATTAACTTTGGGAAAAACTGCGTTTTTTTAAAGTAACATTTTGAAAAACATAATCCTTATGATTGTTGTGGAGAAACTGTGTGTATTCACCTGTTTTGACATTGCACCTTCTTCTATAAAGATCAACAGGCCAATATCAGTTAATCGAAACTGACCAAGCGGAATTGTTTTTGCAAGTGAATTTAACCTGAGCTCTCTTCCTCTGACTCAAGTCTACCCTGAATGTCTCTCTTTAACACCTGCAGCAACAGTTGTGGATTTACCTTCATTACAGTCAAGCTAAGACGCTCGTATTGCGCCGACAAGCCACCATCCGCTTGCACTAAAAGAACAACTACAAACATCATGCTATTCGGTGATGCTACCTGTGAGCTAACAGTACCAAACTACAGTCACCAAATTAGCTTCAAAATCTTTCAAATAACAGTGATTCTAACTTCCGAAATGTTTTCAAACATGAAACCTCGGAAATACAGTACTTGTCAATGTTTCAATGATGGAAATGTATCTCAATGTCCAATGAGATATTCAATATGTTTTTGCATGTTGGTTAAGGTTTTTAAAAAAAATTATCATTGTCATACCTATTGCTCTACCTGTGGCTATTAGACTACATTAACGAAAAGCACGTTCTGTTTGGTCGATAATTTGACTCTGGTGAAGAAGTAATCCTAGTCGTTAAAAAAAAAACAAATTCAATTGTAAGTATGTTATAGTCAAAATTTTCGTTTAAATCTTAAAATAATTAGCTTATTCATTCTAAACGCTGCCTATTTTTCTCAGTATAAAAAATGTAATGCTACCTGGGATAAAAAGAAATTGCATTGCTTCATTCGATCATTAGATAGCAGGAACTTATCCAGTACATTAGGAGTGCAGTCAGTACGACTTAAATCTATATTATAAGTTATGCCTCGAACTCAATTGAGTGGTGATTAGCTAAGCAAAAATTCAGATGTTGATTTACGAGTAAAATGCTGCGACTATGTAAATTCGATTAATTAATTTGTAATTATATTTTATTCTTAGAATTTCGAAGTGTTGAGTGACCTCACCACCACGTTATTCAGCAATGTGAATACAATATTTCCCAGACAGGTGGATGCTATCTTCCTCCTGTATTTTTTCAACTAGCAGAATTTATTGGCGTCAGCATTTTGATACGAGGTTTTCTGAAATTCAACGCTGTTGATGTGCTGCAGGAAGATGTAATCTCTCAGCAATGGGAGTCAAGGTGAACTTCCACAAATGCTATATCAATATCTCTTATTATTTGAGTTCTTTCGCTTTTGAAATTCGAACACGTTGCATGTCATATTATGTAACTTTCCCATTTACTCTCGAGATTATTCTTTTGAAGATCATTAGAATTTAATGCGGTCAAAGGCCAATGTTCCCCAGTCTCTAAACGCAATTTTAAATTGCCGCAGAAGTATTTTATCCAATGATTTTCTATCGGTACTGAGATTTGTTACCGCACATGTGAATATTCAATCACAAACAAGCACACGCGCATGTTTTTAGTGAATTATTTATGATTTTTGTGAGAACTTACATAATCATTTGCGTTTCATAGCAATTTATGCGATTGCCGTTCCCGAATTTGTTTTATTGTCGCATGAGAATTAATTGCTAGTTTCGTTTCGTGTTTAAAACCGCCACTAATCCACTATGCACATGATTATATATTACATCTTTCGTTTTTTTTTTGCCTGCTAGATATTTACTCCTTTTGTTTGCTTCATGCCTGATTATTACCATTGATAGTTTTCCTTGTTAATATATCTTTACTGCACTAATTTCGATATTGTCATTAATGTTGAACAAGCAAGTTGCCTTCTGTGGGAGCGCATGATTGCATTGTATCGTGCTGCATCTCGCTTGCAACCATCACTCCCTGCTGAAAAACTTATTTTTTATTCATACTGCTCCGTCTTGATTTAGGTATAGATTTGTCAAGATTGTTTTTCACATGAAACTTGTACATTTCAGTACAGTGATTTTTCTTCATGATTTTGAGCTAGCTGAGGCAGTAACCAGGACTCCAACATGATTAATAGTTTTAATTTTCTCATTTACCCAACATGCATAAGATTAATCTCCATTAAAATCTGAGCATTGATTTGATAGGATTACAGTTTTTTAGAACAGTAATGGTGTGACAATACTTGCAGTGGTTAGGCTAAAATCTGTCGTCCGCATTTACCAACTCAAATATTTCACGTGATTTGAGCAGATGCTATGAATGTTCTCACGAATCGACACGACCGAAATTTTTTACCAAAAAGTGAGGATAAGTTTCGAGTAATGCTTAGGGTATGCGTAGGTACGTACTCGTTGTACCATTCTTTGGTTTCATTTACCTGAGAAGACTCAAAAATGGTGGCAATGATGTATCCCTAAGTTGGTACACATCAAGGTTTTCCAGAATAATAGATGAATTACTCTCAGGGAACCACTTGTCAACTGGAACACTAGATAAAGCTTTTCCATGACCAGATTGTTAAGTAGTAAACACGTGCAAATAATGCATAACATTTTAACGATGTGATTCTAATTCATGAAGTTGTACGAGAGGCTGAATAGGACTGAACCAAAATGCATGAAACATGTAATTATTTGATTCCACTTCAAAGAAATGTACTTATTACATGAAATACGAGTATCATTATTCCACTATTTTGTCGTATCGACAATCATTTGATACACAAACTAATTAAATTTCTATTATCTATAGACTCTCAGTGTCAGGCAAGGAATCATTCACACCACAAAATTCTGTGAGATAACACAAATCTTTCTTGGTAACAAAAAGGTTACTAATCTACAATGCACGACGACACATCAACAAACACCGACCAATCAGAGTCAGGTGTTAATGAAAACAAGACTCAGGAAATGTTTGATGATCAATCAGAGAACCCAAGCAAACGATTTCTCAGTTACCATTATACTAAAGAAAATAAATAAATTTGAACTTTCACGAATGAAAATCATGACATGACATCTCTTCAATTGTATAATACATACTAGAATTTAGAACAGAAAAGCCTGTTGATATAATGTTGAAACATAATGTGCGCCAGAGGGTCTAGTCGAGATTTTGGGCGCCAATTCAATTGGACTTCCCTGCTGGAATTCTATGTATGTACCTCAATGGTCAAACACAAACAAGCACACGCTCATGTTTTTAGTGAATTATTTATATTTTTGAGAACTTATATAATCATTTGAGTTTCGTAGCAATTTATGGATTACAGATTACAGCTGAGCGCCTGCAGTAGCAGGCGCTCAGCTCACGTTTACTCGCATGCCCAATTGTTGTTACACAAAGATGTCGATAAGAGAATTCCAAATTGTAGTGCATTCGATGATTTTGAAAAGAGAATTCTAAATTTTAGTGCACATAATGTCGGAAAAGAAGCTAGCACTCTCCATGAAAATATAATTTTTTCTTCCGTTTTATGTCACAGGAATTTGACAACCAATTTTTGCCGATAACGATTAAATAACGTTGTGGTGCACTCCTAACACGTTAGGAAGTAGTAAAGTAATTTGAAATTATTAAATTCGCGGTTCAGGAATACTTAGTTGAAATAAAATTTCTTGAAGGCTTTCACGTGGGAAGCAATTAGGTATAAGCGATGAGAAGTAAAATTTCTTCCAATTCAGATATTAGAGGACGCTTGTAAAAGTTCTATGCAAAGATGGGTGATACATGGCTATAAAATCAAGGGTTACATCAGGGTAGCGCCGAAGCCGAACGTTCTTTTGATGCTCTCCCAGTAGTAGGTGTTCCAGCCTTCCCGTGTGCGCTCGTAGTCGCTGCGAACAAAATTTTCATTAGCACACCAATTATAATTATGTCTGAAAATAAACAGTCATACGACATATCTTGCTCACAAGCATCATTATTCACTACCACGAGGTCTGAAACTAGCAGCAATCATCGTTAAATGTGGTCAAGGAATGTTGTCAATTTTCCCATGTCATGGCGTTTCAGGTTAGTACTATGAATGAAGTACTCGTATATAACCTAAAAGACAGTTTTGCTGCTTTAGCATCCTGTCCCTGTCTGCAGACGATAATTGGACTTTATAAGTCAATCAAAACTTTCTGCGTTGGTTATTGGCCCCAATATATCCCATGTATTTATTCATTAACTAATTCTGGACATGTCGTTGCATGGAGGTTTTCTACACGAATCAAATACCTGACTGGAATGTTTGCCTGCGTGAGTGTCAGTTCAGTGCAGTCCTCCTTCTCGGCGAAGTCGAGCCTGACGGTGGAATAGAGGCCGTCTGGCCAGGTCTTAAAACGCCACTTCTGTACAATCAACTTGTTCGGCTCCTGGCGGCAGAAAAATATAGAATATCAATATATTATTATTTGCTATTATAAATATTATTTATATAAAAACGTACAATATGTATATCCCCATTTCCATCAGGGATCACAGCACGATTATACAAAAAGGCGTGGCCAATATTTCTAGAGTTGCGAGGCTCTTTGCATTGTTACATGCAATAAATAGCTACATGTAAAGATAAGATCACAGTAGATTGAAATGCCCTCCAACTACAGTATAATAAGAGGTGTTACGTTCAGAGTGTAAATTTATCTTCACTTGAGAAATGACGAGATACACATAATCTTCAGGAATGCCGTTTTTCATAAGCAGTAAATCGTGGAGTGAGCGCACAACACTTGTGACTTATAAACCCATGGACTCAAAACTAATGACATGGCGCTGAGTTAACGTCACACTCAAGAAATGGCAGTGAGGATACTGCACAAAAAATTAAGGCCGAGAAAGTGAAACTAGAAAGCATGATGAAGAGTAAAATGTGCCTCTTCAAATGTTTTCAAATCTCTGACTCAAAAATTGGACTCGATAAACAATAAAAAATAAGTGCCACAAGAACAAAATGTTCAAAAAATAATAAAAGTCCGGAAATGTATTACTTCAACTTACGAAAGTTTCAAAGATCCCCAGAACGTTGCCACCAAAAAGTTCAAACTTGCCCCCTTCGGCGACCTCCATCGTAACTGAATTTCGCGTAAATGCCGTCACCATCTGGAAAGAAATGAGATAATCAACCTCATTTATCTTGACCACGGCAGGATGACTAAGTGATTACTGTTCAGAGAGCCGAAATTGGAGCATTGGGTAGCGCGTTCGAAATCTTAGCTAACAATGAAAATTTTGCATTCAGAATTGGAAACTAAATCTGAGCGAGCCTGATAGCCTATTCTTCAAAGCTTCACAGCCATCATTATTAACCAAAAGCTAAATGCGTTCCTGGAAAACGCCTTTACAAAATTTTGAAAAAAAATGGAGAGGTAGTAGGGGTTGTGGAAGCAGTTCCTTTATTACAGCACAAAAAATTAATTTACCAACAATGATACTACGGACCAACAATGATAGTACTATAACTTATGGAGATATAAAATAAAGTAAAAAATAGGTTTTTCACCAGCAAAATAAAACTAGACGAGAAACTTGAGACGATTGAGCACACATTTTCAATACAGACAGAAGATTATAGAATTTAAGGAAAATCAAATCTCATTGTTTCTTGATTGGCATCAATATGTAGTACTAAAACATCGCTAATTACAACAGAACCACCATCACCTCGGGGATAGTGAAGACATTATAGAGTTCCTGGACACGACATTTGAAGGTCTGGCGGAGGGACAAATCTTTGGTGTCTGACGCAGTGGGCTGCTGGCTCTTGAGCTGCATGCTGCTCAGCGGCGAGATCGCGCTGTTCACCTGGAACAATAGCACCAATAGTTAGGAGTTGGTAACCCCGTCAACAAATCACTGATGGCTTTTACAGCTGAACCCACCAACCACTGACGGGAAATAGGCAGCTACCAGTATTTACACCACTACATACATTTGAGTGAGTTTTCTTAGTACGGCCTCCAGTGACGTCATCACATGGCATTCTAGTTCATTAATGGTTATGTATTGTAGATTTCAGTTTGTCATGATCATTGAATTTTTGCTAGCTGACTAAAAAATATCAAAGTTAAAGTTTGTGGACCTACCAAATGAATTCTTATCAAGCAAATAAAGGATATATAACAGTTTTGACACAACCCCTATTCAACAACTTAATGAAATAGTTAAAATATAAGAAAAATTCTTTTCCAAGCCAAAAGAAAGGCACGCAGGCTAAAAAATATTACAAATTTTTTTACCATTTTTAGCAGGGTTGGTGATTTTTTTGATTTAAAAAAAAATCAAAAATCAATGATTTTTTTGATTTAAAAAAAATCAAAAATCAATGATTTTTTTTTTATTTTTTTGTGATTTTTATTTTTTTTCATTTTTTCAGTTTTTTTTTTTTTTTGTCTTTTTGAAGTGTTATTTTTTATGTGGCAATTAGCCTACTAACAATAACAATATATGGATCATAATGGATGGCTAAAAAGGGCACTTATTGCCTTCAATAATGGCCAACAGACCAAGGTGGTGTTTACCACTTAGGGATTTTTATACAACTTGAAACGAGACTTAAGTTATGAGAAAAGCTAACACTGTTTGAAATAAACATGTGCACAATTCAAATATTTTATATCCATTCACTGCATTTAATTATTTTATATATAGTTATGAGAAAAGCTAACACTGTTTGAAATAAACATGTGCACAATTCAAATATTTTATATCCATTCACTGCATTTAATTCTTTTACATATAGTCTTATAATTGTAATTGCTTAGTTTCTAGTTTTAAATTCACATATATAAAGATTGAAATTAAATACTTTCATTAGAATATTCGTATTAGGGTGGAAAATCTTTCTAATTGCCTAAAAGGTCAATACAATCTCAACCTCTCAATATACAGGGTGGGGCAGAATTGATTGAGCAGTTTTGAGGTAAAATAAAAGAGTAATGGAGGTGCATAAAGAAGAAAGTTTATTTTCCTAGAGGTTAGCATAATATACCATTTAGAATACTTATGTTTTGAAAACAATATCAGGAAGATGGTGTCTGTTAGCTGCAACACACTGTTGGAGTCGTTCTCAGAAGTTTTCTACAGCACGTTCACACATATGGCGCGGTATGGCCATAACCTCTGCTGCAATAATCCGTTCCCTTAGCTGTTGTAGGGTGCAAGGGCGACTTCTGAACACCCTCTCTTTTAGATGTCCCCAAAGAAAGAAATTGCAAATGCTCAAGCTCATCTCAGGTGACCTCGCAGGCCACTGTAAATCACCCCTCAGAGTCTGGGAACATGAGTTTCAAAACATTGAGTGACATTCGGGCTGTGTGAGCTGTAGCCCCATCCTGCTGGAACCACACGTCTCCCAATGCTTCATTTTCAACAATGTTTTCCATCATGGGCTGCAAGAAATTTTACAACATTGCAGCATAGCGATTGGAATTCACTATTATGGTTACTCCCTCCTCTGAGAACGACTCCAACAGTGTGATGCAGCTAACAAACCCCATCTTCCTGATATTGTTTTGAAAACATAAGTATTCTAAATGGTATCTTATGCTAACCTCTAGGAAAATAAACTTCCTTCTTTATACACCTCCATTACTCTTTTATTTTACCTCAAAACTGCTCAATCAGTTCTGCCCCACCCTGTATAAGCTGGCTAACACATTTAAATTGTATATTGTAATCAATATATAACAAATAGTCAAATAGTTAAAGACTACCTAATTATAGCCTTATAAGAATTAGCTAAGAATAAGATTAGCTGCATTAGCTAAGCTGTACAATGTATTGCACACTTGATGCCTCTGTACCAAAATCATTCAATTTATTGGAACCTAATCACACTATAGGCAACAAGTTTATATACCAATTTGTCATTCATAGTACATTTACAGTAGACCATGAATAACAATACCTCAATATAAATTAAAGACTGCCACTCAATATATTTAAATATATGAAAAAAAATCGAAAAAATAAAAAAAAACACGATTTTTTTATAAAAAAATCAAGTGATTTAATCATTTTGATTCAATCATTGCCAACCCTGATTTTTAGGATACCCAGAATATAATTATTAGCTGACATGAAAACAGCAGGATAAACAAGGAATAACTTTTATAGGGGAAAATTTTTTAATTCATCCAATAAAGAAAAATCGTAGACAAGTATAAATAATAATCCCTAAAACTATTGTAGTACGTACCGAGTTATCAGCAGTCTTAGGAGTGCAGGTAGTGGTGGCAGTCTTGCTCTGTGTAGAGGCAGTCTTAGCGCTGTGGGTGGTGGGTAGGATCAGGTCTTGGGCATACTCTGCAGCACCACAGAAAAACAATATCATCTCTTGAGAGAACATACATATTTATTGATACTAATTAGTTTCATAGAAGTCCACTTGCTTACTATTTAAGCATGAGAGTAAGGCGTTTTGATTCTTTTCTCTTCTGACTCAAATATTTGTTGAAGAGTGTATATAGGTATATATTATGAAGAACAGGCACTGAATATGAATGAATATAATTTTAACCTGCATCTAACAATAAAGAAATAAATTCTAAGCCCAAAATAATTTTATCACAAAAAATTAACAATTGCATGTATTGATGAATATAAATTCTTATGACCATTGCCTCAAAAACCTCGTATACTAGTGCTACTGCAGAAGTACCTACTCTTAGCACAATACAACAGCTACCTATTAGATGAGCACATACATGAACCTTCAAAACTGAGATACTAAAAATAGAAGCATCCAAAACCAATCTGTACAATATCCATGGACACGAGGCATCAATAATAAATGGGACACTATTTGAATGAATGTCATAAGATTTTTAGATGCCGATCATGACATTTCAAAATGAATGCCAATCATTTCATTAGCTGCTAAAGAATTGTTTCAAAGCTACTTTACTTAGTATCAAAGTGAGTTGTACAGAAATAAGAAAATGCAATAACATAAGCACACATCAATTAACTTTGGCAGCAAACATACAATGGAAAGTAAGAAAAAGTAAGACTCACCCAGTCCCAAACTCACCTTCCCGGAGAGATGTTAAGTAGCAAGCAAGCTTATCCCGGATGATTGTTGTACCCTCAGTACGCAGGTATGTCTTAACCTGCTCTCCAAATGAGCCTCCTGCTGAGACTGAAACATTCACCTGTTTCAGGGCAAAAGGTAAACAGTCCATCATTTATTGCTACAACAAAAACATGAAAGCAATGTTCTTCATTAAAAATTGCATTTGCATACATTAAATATTTTTTATTTATACTTCAACGACATTTTAACGATCATGATGCCTTGTTGACAAACAAACTTGATGAAAACTGACAATCTTAGAACAAACTCACATCAACATCAGATGGTTCATTTTCTTCAGATAAATTAGGAATTTCTAAGGTACCCTTGCACTCCTCAGCATCAGGGTCTTCCAGCTCAGCTACCCAGTCTATGGTGAGCACCCATTCATAGAAAAAAATTAATTTGCCTTTCCTGTTATTTGCTGTAGCCTCTCCTTCACATTTGCTTAATGTTTTTAAAGTTACCGTTCCTGAAATGGACAAGAAAAAACATTAAATTAGACAAATGGTTAGCATAGCAATAAATCAACATGTGTTAGCTGTAGGTTTTTTACATATCATCCCTAGTTAGTCAAAATCCTGATCACAGTACATTGAGCTTGATTTTTATTTTCCAATGCAACATTGCAATTATTAACTATTTTATCCACAGATGTATTTATAGATCAATGTCCTAACAAAAAAAAACATTTGCTGTAGATATTCAGATATTCACACCTACCTCAATGAGACAATAGAGAAGAAATGCCTCAGATTTTCAACACTAAACATCCTATTCAAAAAATTAAAATATTTATTATTTTACAAATTATATTTATAACTTACCTAGCCCTTTTTTTGAAAGAACCAATCCTTCCATAAGGGACTTTAATTTATCCTTGCTCCAACTGCTGGCATTTTTCTCAGACCTGAAAGTTAAGAGCAATAATTAGTTGCAGGTTACAAACACCATCCACCATCACTGTTTTTGTAGCACTTCATTTCACCCTAGTTTTTAAGATTGGTTTTAAAAAATCAACTGACAGAATTCAGAATTCATTTTTCAAGACACAAACTTAGTCCAGTCATGGGTTTCAAATCCCACATTTTACCATAAAAATTGCACTGAAAAACTTAATATGCAGGTAATAGACAGATGATAATATTATATATTTCTTTAATGAGTCATTCTTTTACTGCTAAAAGAAAGCCATATGACACCCAGTCTGTTAAGAACACATGACAAAAATAAGTCAAAGACGCCAAATTAATTGCCCCAAACAGGCGAGGGTATGATCAATGCAGGTGGAAGTTACCAATAACACTTCTCCATACATTGCAACATATGATGTACTATATAGCCAATGGCAATAATTTATAAAAGCTCAGCATGCATTACAATCACAGCAGCTGCAGGTATCCATTCCCAATCTAAGCAAGGTTGATTTATCATTAATGATTGGACCAGTAACTTCAAATAGAGACCAATTCAAAGGGCTGAGCACTGAGGCCAGAATGATTATATATCAACCCATAAGATGCCAATATGTCAACCTAAAAACCATACAAGTCTGGTCTGACATGACTTCAAGCCTACAAATGTGAAAACATGAGCCAAAAACCATTTGTCCATTGGAATTTGATCAGAAGCATGGTGCTGAATGCTAGATTGTAAGTGACTAGCAAAATTCAACTTTCCTGAGATGGCATATTTGAACGCTCATGATTCCCAATGAAACCAAATTCCCAAAATGCTTGACTTTGGACCTGGGAAAAGAAAATCCACTCAAATTGTGCAATTTCAGCTTGAAAATTTACTAGCAAAAATTCTATATTTTCCAATCTGTTTTCACAATTTCACATGGGTCAGTTCCTTTACAAGGATTGGTGGCAAAGGGGTAAATATGCTTTTAAATTTCCACTTTTACCAATTATTCAGTTAGGTATTAGGATGAAGCAAAAACAATAAAATTTTTAGTTTATGATACTGGTCATATTGATATTGCAAACTGGAATATTGGAAAGGATTTTCCAAATATTTGGTATAAATCAATTTGCAAATATTTTTGAAAATAATGAACAAAAGTGTATGTTTTTTCCTGATTTTTCATTATTTAAACAAAATAAACAAGGCAAGAACCATATACAAGTAGGCTAAAATGTCTACACACATCACATTTCAGTCCAAATCAGAACAAATTTTGTTAGAGTGGCAGATTGAGACAATAACAATAAGGCTTTGGCTCATCATGATTTATGAAATCTTTTTAGCCCACAATTTTTTTAAATTCTGCCCTATATTCCAGATCAGAAACAAATTTGCAAACATCTGTCATAAATCCTGGTGATCAGTTGGTACCATAAAATGGGGTAATAAGGGACATGCGGGGTAAAGATAACTCACCAACAATAACACCATTTTAATTGCGTCAAGTGAATTCAGTATAATAGAAAAAGATTGTTAAAACATACCTGAAATAGAAAGGAATATTTTAGTGACAACCATCATATTTTTTTGGAAAAATAAATCATAGTTTAAGTTAATTACTTTTCATTCTACGTTGCCTGGTTCACAATTATATCTACAACATTTTATGTACAATTTTGTGATGGCTGATGAAGCATTAATTTTTCGTTAAGTGAAATTTTTTTTCACTGAGCAGTGAGCAAAGTAAATGTAAATTGTAATCAAAATTTTTTTGTTAGGGTAAACGTGGTGTATTCCGACATCGTGGGTAATTCCGTCATCTCTCTGGTTTTTCCTTTATATTAAGCTTTGTTTTAGTTCCATGCATTCGTTGATGGTTGAAATGGTGACGTCATAAATTTGCACGTCAAACTACTGCCAAAACACTAGGTCTTGGCCAACTAGCGGGAAAATATTGAGTTCCAAAGAGAGACAATGCACGCTACCCAGTGAGATCATCGAAAAATGTGTCAAATTTGACAGTTGACCTTGCTCTACCAAATCGTGAATAACTGTTTGTATAGGAAGAATATTATGGTTTGAGACTTTTAAATACGTCTATGAATATATTAGGAATCCTTTAAGTATACTTGTATTTGCTGATTTCAAGTGGTAAATAAATTAATAGATGATTAAGTTGTGAAATGGATTTAGACACATGAAAATTAATTCCGTCACAACTTGAATTGGACACACACAGATCGTTCCAATCTGTGTACAAAAATTAAAATTTGCTTAATTAAAAGCTTAATAGTTGTTAATTAAAAGCGTAATTAAGTAATGTTCAATATTCATTAGTGTTCTAATTCAAAGCCGTGTTGTATTATCTGACATGCACCACCAAACAACAGATGGAATATGACTTTTGTTACATCATTATATTGCATAATTTTTAGCTCACATCATCTGAGGTTAGGTTTTACATAGTTTAGTTATGTTCCAAAATTAATCGTCTTTCAATGAATGGTCGTTCTTATCATAGGCTGATTCGATGCACAGTACGGGTTGGTGGCGGGCACCACATGCACTGCATGGCTGTGGCACTAAATGTCCAAATGATGCCAAAATGTTTGTGCATTTGCAGATGACGCTAGGCCATACTATAGAAGGTTGGTTTCCTGCTGGCAGATAGGTCTACTTAAATGGATTTGAAAGCCGCAAACACTCAATAATTCAACACTTGTGGGCAGAAGTGTTGAAGGGCAGGCTACATACAGTATTGGAGGAAGGAACCAAGGTGGTATTATCGAAGCAGGGCAGTGTTGGTCTCCAACAAGCGACCCTCTCGAACGGCGTTTCTCTTTCCCCTGTCAAGCTCTTCTGATGAAACGTTTTTTTCAATTTCTCTACGTGGATAAAAAGGAGTCCCAGGTTAAGAGAGAACCATTTTTAACATGAATTTAGCATTATAGGAAGTTTATTTTCTCATTTATTCCTTGAAGTTTGACAAACAAATAGGTCTTCCATCATGCTTGTTCCCATTTGAATTAAAAATAAATGATGCGCACTTTGAATATATGTATGGCCTAAGCATTTGTGTGTATTTTTTAATGTATGGCCTAAGCATTTGTAAACATTGTGAGCCTGTGAAACGAGCTGTGTGTAGAGCAGGCCTATCTACAAAATTTCATGTTGGTCTAAATATTTTCTAAATGCAAATTAACTCACATTTACCTTCAATTAAAAAAGCTGAAATTTTTAAAAGATGTTTATTGTTGCAAATGGATTTTTGCCTAGAATCACAAAACACACATCTTAAATTGCTCATAAAAAAGGCACATCATGTTAAGGATTTTTCATTTCTTTAATTGTATTAGTCGTAGCTATAAGGTAGCCTTTTTAAGATATTCTGTATGAGCTTATATTTCATTGCAGGTGAATTGTTTTTGTTGTCTGCGGTTTAGTACCATGCTCTCGCCATACTCGCATAGTGGCAAAGCAGAGAGTTTTTTAGACTCTCTCTCAAGTTCATTTTTGAGTCCCATAAGTAGACTGTAGACCAGTAAAGTATCCTGGATACCAGCCTTATCATACATAAGAAATTGATTTAAATCTTGGGTAAATGAGGAAGTTAGAAATGAACTGATTCTAAAAAATCTCTGGTTTGTCACTATGCATACTCGTATATATTAAACTGTGACCGCAGCACGAACGTTATGTCAAAAATGAGGACCATACACTTGCCTCTCAGACTTTAGTAAAATTGTGTTATATTTTTATATTTATAATATTGTAAGGTAGGCATTAGCATGAACTAAAATACATGTGAATTAAGGAATAATGTTTAACTGCTATTTCTCGGGCAAAATTTGAGCTTAGCTATTCGTGATCTGCGCGTATGCCATCGCCGCCAAGAGTTTGCAACTCGCAAGTTTGCGGTTCAAGAATGGCTTTCCATGGCTTGAGAAATAGGTTTACGGCTTAAAAATTTGTTAATTCGCGGCTCAAATAATCCAGTTAAATCGTGATCGCGCGCTGTGCTCCTGCCATCGCCGCCAAGAGTTCGCAACTTTGCGGTTCAAGAATGGCTTTCCACGGCTTGAGAAATAGGTTTACGGCTTGAAAATTCGTTATTTCGCGGCTCAAAAAATCCAGTCGCGGCTCACAGAGTAGATCTTTTCCTCCCCTGCTGACGCGTAGTGCGGTGTTTTGAGAGTCACATAAAGCAAACAGAACTTGAGTAACGCATACGGTTATTTTTATAGTTTTTCATTTCTTGATGTGTCCTTAATGTGACGGAATATACTATGTTTACCCTAATTGATTTTTTGGTAAACTGGAGCAATACAGGAGCATAGTGACAAACCAGAGATTTTTAAAATCAGTTCATTTCTAATTTCCTTATTTATTCAAGACTTAAACTAATTTCTTATGTAAGATAATGCTGGTATCCATGATACTTTACTGGTCTACTTATAGGACTCAAAAATGAACTCAAGGGAGAGTGTAAAAAACTCTCTGCTTTGCCACTATGAACTGGAGCCTTTGCTAATCAAGGTTCTACTGTGAATGAATTTTTAGGGTTGTCCCTTATTACCCCAACTTGCAGAAATGGCTGCCTTTTTTTGGAATGAGCTACACAAATTCAGTCAATCACATTTTTAAGCCAACACTTGTGTGCAACTTTTATGCAAGTAAAATTTTTAACACGGCAAATATTTTTCTAGCTAGGGTAAACCAGGCATGGAATATATCTACTTGGCAAGCCGCGACTGAATTTTTTGAGCCGTGATTCCATTTCTACGAGCCGTGATTCCATTTCACTGAGCCGTGAGTTCCATATCTCGGCCATGAAAAGCCATTTACGAGGTGCGAATTTATTTACAAAGTCCATGCACGTGTTACCCCAAATTTGTAATTTTACCCTTAAACAGTCAAACGGCAACAATAAAATTTTTGTCTACTGTAAGTTCAGCACACGTTAATGCAGTCTGACCGCTTTGACATGACCGCAACTATGCGCGATCTTCAACAAAACGTTTTGCTTTTTAATAAATATGGCAACATTTTGTGACGTTTCATCATTGCTGACGCGTAGTGAAGTGTTTTGAGAGTCATGTGAAGGCAACAGAACTTACGTAACGCATACGTTTTTTTTTATAGTTTTTCATTTCTCGATGCGTCCTTAAAGTGTCGGAATATACCGCGTTTACCCTACAGGCCTTAGCAGAGGAACTTTTGAAAAATCTTAGTCTCACTTTTCACACATTTTTTCAGAGATTTTTTAGAGATAGTAAATGTATGATTTCTTAACTAGCTTCATGTTACAATTTACATCATATACAAAATACATAGATAGTAATAATGTTACTTTATGGCTTTATGCCATTATTTTTAGTTTTATAATATTTTGATCAATTTAGCTGCTCAAACATCTCTGCAAAATGTAGAAGACTAGGAATTTAAAAGCAAAGGAAATCATCAAAAAGTTCATCTTTTCTTAAATGAGAAACATTTCAGAGACCATCTGCTGATCTCCATCATCAGTTCAAAACCTAGAACACAGGTACAATTGCCCATACAAACAATTTAAAAAAATAGGTATAGCCGTATAGGCACTGCGTTGTCTGCGTAAATGTTTAAATTCAATGTGCAATTGCAATGTGCATACTGCATAGCATCATTAGCATGTAATGCTGATGTCCAAATGTGTTACTTGGTAGGTAAACAAGACAATAAGGTCAGATATCATCTATTTCAATTGGCACGTTTGAATTTACCACTACCCGATCGTGAGTCGCGCCCCTACTCCAAAGATAAATATTGACGCCGGTGTAACCGTTTTAAACTTACCAATGCCAATTATTTACATTTGTAGCATCTGGTCTGTCTTCCACGATCCATCTTGGGTCACCTTCTCCCCATTTAGCCATTTAAAAAAAATTAGAATAAAAAGAGACCGTAAGAAAAGATAAGCACACGAACGTGCTGTGACTTTAAAATTCACAACAATTCGAGTAATCGACCACAGTCCACACGACGTGTCGGAGCTCCTCACTTGACAGACGCCAGGCACGTTTTCCTCCGAGGTGTGTACGAAAATCTCGCTACTTCTCTTGCGATAATTCAAGTATATTCCAGAAATTTCTCCATCTTGCAATTCCCCAAAATTATCGAAACAAAAAATTCATCTTTCGTTAATAAAAATAAATCCAGAATGGATTTACCAAACGTATTGCATAACCTAAACGTGATACAACAGCAATAATTGTCATTAATTTTCCCGGATTAATTTATTACGTGACTGACGGAAGCATATACAAAAAAATTAATATATAAACAAATTACTGATAATTTTGGTTTCGAAATGTATGATTAAGTCTTATTTTTACTTATAAATGAATTTTTTAGGTTAATCATTGAGATGTTTTATTGCTGTTGTTTTAATTATGTTTATTTCATCATAGTTGACAAACCAATTATAACATTAAACTCATTCAATTTACCGTTCTGAACTACTAGCAAACCGCGCTGAATTGAAAATTTTTGTTTATACACAATTTTTAGCGAGGAACTTGAGAAAGCAGTTTAGCAAATAATTTTGCGCACAATAGGTCACAGTGCCCGACTGCGTTTTCGAAATCTTTCTCTGTACACGTTTCTTAATTCAGCTACTGCATTTCAGATTTGTTACACTTTCGAAATTAATGGCCACCGTCTTTTGATAATAGTGACCCAAACTTTTTACGGGATTTTCTCCGCTGTGTACAGAAATAGAGCTTTGTAGTCTTCGTCGACTCTTCGAAAGCGTTAAAAGCGGTCAGTTCGTCTGCAACTGTCATCGGGTGGTGTAGACACATAAGGTGCTCCAGTCAAGCACTATATACTCGTTGCGACAGCCTGCTATCTTCATCATTTCAGTAGCGGAACAGCCCATAAAATAAACAGTCTGTCTGGATTTTTTGTTTCATCATTAATATATCATAAAATGTTACGAATTAAATTCGTCTTACTGATTTTTACTATACAGACACAATGGGCTCATGGTCAGAACAATCATCTTCCCACTCGACTCATTCCTCCTCCATCGAACTTGAATATTGTTAATATCAGAAGAACTCATTATCCAATATCGCAATCAGCACTTCATCTCCAGTCCGGCGCCAGTATGCTGGCGAAGTTACATACAAGCAACGCTCGTGGTCCAGCAAGTTTGTCGACAAGATTTAACACGCCTGCTGAGCAATTGAAACATCTTATGAACACTAACTTTCATCAAAATATGTTATCATTTAACCGAGGATTTTCACTCCCTCCTATGAATTGGCAAAACAACAATCAATTTTCAGTAGGTAAATATCACACGACTTCTTCATTTGTACCTTCTGCGCGGCACATCACGATGAGCCCTAAGTTCAATGCTGAGCTGTCAAACGAGAAGTTAAAATCAATAAGGTTCCTTGACAATACTTTGGATACAAGGAATTCGGCAACAGTTACTCCAGTAACTAAGCCTAGTTTACCGTCGGACAAAAAAATTGGTAAGTCCACTTTTCCTGAACCACAAATTGTGTGGGGTGATTCGCACAGGCCTAAATTATTGACTCAATACGGAAAAGAACTTGCCGCACAAAATTTATTGTACCCCCCACTGAAAGATATTTCATTTCAAAAGGATGGAATTTATGATAATGGTTCTTGGAAACCCCTGCATCAACCAATCGCCTCGCAAATTGAAATGGACAAGGAAAATTTGCCGTCTTTCGATAAAATTTCAAATTTATTTGCTTCATGGACAGCTCCATTGCCACTTACCACTCAAAATCCCATTCAAAATTTGTACGTCAAAACAACCCCAAAGCCCCAACATTTTCTTTCGCCTTCGTTGATCTTCAGAAGTGATATAGGCAAGAGGCAAGTTTCCGCACGCGCACAAGAATTGGCTCCATTCTTCGTTCGATTTTCTACGACTCCTCCTGCAAAGTTGGAATCTTCGGAGTTTGTGATTCACTTGAACTCTACGGACCGAGTACAGAAACTTATGAATTTTTTAAGCAAATACCTGCAAAGTCCCTCGCATCAGTTGAACAAAGAATTGCACGAAATATCTGCACTTGGAAGCAGTGAATTTGCTCCGTGGTCAGACGACTTCTATTTGACCACTTCAAATCCTCCAAATAAAATCCCAACGAGCTATCAGACAAAGTTCCGTAACGGGTTTTTGGATTTGCTTTATCTCAACAACCAAACGGATCATCGCGACCTGGCTAATATCGATGAAGATGATTTTAAAAACTTCTCAGGAACGACGAAACTGTTCGACAACTTAGTGGAAGTAATTTCTTCTGAAGTTGTAGAGCCATTACAAAACCCTCAAAACTCCATTCGTGTTACACCGCAACCTGTAAAAATTGACGTTTTTCAAGATTTTGATTCATATGACACCGCTTCCTTTGAAGGAGACTTGATTTATTCACCGTCAATTTCAACGCTCCTAGGCATCTCTACTGTGTCTAATGTGACTATCGAATCAAATTTTTCTGTCATCAGCAATGAAAACGAAATTGGTCTCACAACACACGATGATGAGTTCGACTTGAACGCAGTTAAAATCTCCGCAAAAACATCAGAATGTCCTAAACTCTACGGGAAAGTTGACTTGCTGTGTGAAATTAATTCGAACGAGACACAGGTAAGAGCATAATTCCTATTGATAAGATTGCGTTCATTATTTGCAGCATTGTATTTTTTGAGATTAGAAGGTAACATCAATGTGGAAAAGCAATTTGATTTTTCTAAGAGCTCTTTAGTTCTTAAAAAATAATCTGTTCCAATGAAATAAATTTAGTTTTTTTTTAATGAAATGTGCGTTCAATCAAATTTTAGTTGATGGAGATGCAACGAAAGGAGAAACTTTTATGCTAGCTTCAAATTTATCCGTTAAAATAAAATGGGCTATTTAATGTTATTTTATTTAGTGAAGCTGTCTATTCGATTGGGACTGCTTTGAAGTGAATTTTAAATTTCGTCGTTGAAATAAAATATAATGATCTATTCAATGTTATTTTATTTGATGAAGCTGTCTACTCTATACGATATGGGCAGCTTTGATGTGAGATATCGTAACGTTCAGTGACGAACGACAACGAGAGCCACAATGATCCATAGACAATGGTCTTCTTATCGTAGTTCTCATACAACGTCGGCGAGAGTGTTGCCGGCTGTGAGCGGTGTGAGGCGATTAGGTTAAGTTCTAATGGTTGGCAGTGAAAGGGAAACTTCGGACGTTACGTCTGGTGAACCTTTTAAGCATTTTAGCGAAGAATCTTTGAGACTCTGCTTTCACAGTGATTGATTATTCACAATTATCCGTGTTTTTTTTCATTTTACTAATCTTGAAAACCCATTCGGAAGGAAATAAATTATCGATCTTCTTTGTGTTGCCCCTTGATCCCGGAATTAAAGTTGAAACATTGTTCAATTTCCCCATGTGAACCTGCCAGATTCTTGAGATTAGCACTAAACGGCGCCTTTTTTATCTTCTTACTTTTATACCCTCATCATTCTTGAAGTCCATTGTCTTCCCCGATCATTAGTATGGAGAAACAAAGCTATGGTTCGTCCTCATGAATTCCAGTGTTATCAGCGCGCTTATGCAACTTGATCCTTAACCTGTTATGAATGACACAAACGTTAAACTCAGGGCAGAAAAACCTTCTATATTCCCCTCTCTATTTTCCTTCGATTCGCAACTCAACGGCTTTTTCTAGTGGTATTATCACCGTTACGTGAGTTTATCGAGGAAAAATCAGGAAAGTCAGCAGTGATAAAGAGGCTGTGATTGAAACGAGCCAAACATTATTTTTGCTAAAAAACTAATCAATGGGCTTCCGTGCAAATTGGGGAGCTTTAAATTTATAAGTACGATTGATATTTGCTTATAAACGTACCTTCTAAATTATTCTCTACTTCAAGGATATTTCTTTTTGTGTCTGGTCTTGCATAGTGTTTCCCACTTAAAACGAGGCACGGCGTTATATATAGTAACGATGGTTTTGTGAGTAGTTAAAAATAATAATATGAATTTAGGACACCATTTTTTAAATAGATCAGTATTAATGTTTTCTTGTTGATCAGTATTGATGTTTTTCTGTTGTCAGAACTTGACCTGGAAGAAGCGCATGTACTCGGACGATGGAGAAGAATCCGAGCAAATGCTGTCGCACGGCAGCAAGATGATGTTGTCTGACCCGCGCATATCATTGCTACGTGTCCCTCCTCCCAACACTTACGCTCTGCGCATCACTGCATTCAGAAGCCGCGACGCTGGCACCTACGAATGTCAGCTACGGTCACCAGAGGGCCACCCCATCGCTTCGTCTCAAGTCTTGGTCATCATGTGCTTTTAATCATGCTTGAACTAACACTATTCGTGCAACCATGCTTTTAATTTTAACAATTATAATAGACTCGTAGTTCAGCTCGCATTGCCCAGGATTGTTAATTATGGCAATTTTGGAATCCTATTTTCGCGTAGTTACCGTAATCTTCAACTCCACTAGTGCAGATATCCGTATTCTGTTGTTAATTTAAATTAATTAATTAATTAACCCTTTCACGGGCAAGTTACCAAATATGGTCACTTGAAATCGTGTTACAAAGAGTCTCACCATGGCTTCTGCTCTAGGTTTGAGGCTTCCTTATCTTAATCATCAGTCAATCACTAATTATCTGATCATCGTTCCATGCATAGCATTACCACCTATCACCTACCATCCTCAAAAATTAAAGTTTCAGCTTGGATGACAATATTGACGCTCTTTCTGCATTTTTTAAATGACGGATGTATAAATATATATTCAATTATTTAAAGTAACTTGATTGAATTGAGTTATATTAAATTTTTATGTTATTAATTTTTCGTCTGCATAAACTAAATTTTAATTATAGAACAAAATTTCGTGTAGTGACCGCATTTGATAAATTCTTCAAGTGCAAAATAAGCCTCCAATATGCAAAATTTTTAAAAAATATATACGAATAAATATTTTGTATAATACTTCTTACTTTATTTAACTGGTATCTGAAATTTTGATTTCATGATATTTCAGCGCTTGCCCGTGAAAGGGAATATAGAATATGATAACATAGTGTTAAGTTTCAAGTTGTACCGTTCGATTAATTTAACTTGATCAGTTTTGTTAGTTGATCTAAATATATGTTACTGAACGTCACGCTATACAATAGCTTATACAAAATATATGAGATTAACTGGTTTACCCCACGCTGCTTGAGACCCGATATTCGTGAGATTGGGGACCTTATCGTCGATAATTCGAGTTTCGTTATCAAATCGTCTTCACGGCTATGATAATAGTTCACATACCTTCTGTAACGTGAATTGAAGAGTGAACCGTTCTAAACCCTCATACAATTCTCGCTCTGATATTCGACTGTCTATATCTTGATTAATTTACGAAAGAAAAATTATATACTTTTAAATTGGGTTTAAATTCATTTTTCTCCAGCTTACGATTAGCAGCAATAACTGAGTCTGCTCTAAAAAATAAATGTTGAGTACAGACAAAGTCCCGACACATTTGGTGTTGAGGATCCGCACTCATATGGCGCAACACATCCTCTAACACGCAAACGAAAAATATATTTTTAAAATATATGATCGACTGGCCGTTTATCCCAGTGTTAGTTGTCCGGGATGGGTTATCCCTGCAATTTGAAATCCTGAATCAAATAAACAATTTTGAAACTAAAGTACGTCAATTAAACGGACCCGTTCAAACCCACATTCAAGTCCCGTACTGAAATTTAATGGAAACTTGACATTTTTATTTATAAATACAATTTTCGTATGGTGAAATAAATATAAAATGATAATATTTTGAAGTATTTAAATCTCCACCCCTTTGTTCAGTTGCTCATGATTCTACTAAAAAGGAAAAAAATATTCCAAATTAATACCACAAAACGATATGTCGTGCGCCCGAACCTTGAGTTTGGAAACGTCGTGTGAGTGTTCAAAGTCGTGCAAAGTTATCCTTTGAGTGTTCAAAGTCGTGCAACAAGGATAATTCCGGGCTTGAAAGGCAAGTCCTATGAGGAAAGATTAGATAGAGATTATGAAGCTTCCAAGCCTCAGTTATCGACGTCTCACTCGCAGAGCTGGGCAGCGCTACTTGGAAATGTAGCGGCGCTACCGCTACCGCTACATGCTCTAAATGTAGCGGGCGCTACCGCTGCCGCTACACCCACTAGATTGTAACGGGCGCTACCGCTACCGCTACAGTAAAATGTAGCGCGCTACATTAGCCGCTAC